ATTAAAGACAGGTAAAGAAGATCCAATATATAAAGCCTTTGTGGCCCAACAATCTATATTGTATAATATATTGTATTATGTAGCATAGACATATAAAATGTGGGGAAAATTGGCACAGCACAAACATTTTTAACTGTACTAATACTAATTGGCATTGGTATTGTTATTCTGAGACTACTGTGTATGTATGTGGCATAAAACAAATGAATAATTATGGGTTATTATGACCTGTGTTCTTGAGAAATGGGACTCAGTAAGGAAGAAACTTCTGGTTTCCATAGTTTATTTTGTTTTATTTTATTTTATTATTTTTTTGTCATAAGTATACTCTTTAATCCCCATCACTTATTTCACCCATCCCCCTACCCACCTCCCCTCTGGTAACCATCAGTTTGTTCTCTATAGTTAAAAGTCTGTTTCTTGATTTGTCTCTCTCTCTCTCTTTTTTCCCCCTTTGCTTCCTTTCTTTTGTTTCTTAAATTCCACATGAGTGAAATCATGGTATTTGCCTTTCTCTGACTGACTTATTTCACTTAGCATTATACTCTTTAGCTCTATCCATGTTGTTGCAAATGGCAAGATTTTCTTTTTTATTGCTGAATAATATATATATTATACATATAATATTATATATATTATATCACATCTTTTTAAAAAAATATTTTATTTATTTATTTGACAGAGAGAGAACACAGAGAGAGAGGGAACACAAGTAGGGGGAGTGGGAGAAGGAGAAGCAGGCTTCCTGCCAAGCAGGGAGTCCGATGCGGGGTTTGATCCCAGGACCCTGGGATCATGACCTGAGCCAAAGGCAGATGCTTAACTATTGAGCCACCCAGGCACCCCTATATCACATCTTTATCCATCCATCTATCGATGGACACTTGGGCTGCTCCAACAGTTTGGCTATTGTGAAAAATGCTGCAACAAACATGGGGGTACATGTATCCCTTTGAATTAGTGTTTTTGTATTTTGGGGTTTAATACCCAGTAGTACAATTACTGGATTGTACAGTAGATCTATTTTTAGTTTTTTGAGGAAACTCCATACTGTCTTCCACAGTGGCTGCACCACTTTGCATTCCCATTAACAGTGCAAGAGGGTTCTTTGTTTTCTCCATATCCTCACCAACACCTGTTGTTTCTTGTGTTTTTTATTTTAGCCATTCTGACAGGTGTGAGGTGATGTATCCTTGTAGTTTTGATTTGCATTTCCCTGATGATGAGTGATGTTGAATATCTTTTCATGTGTCTGTTGGCAGTCGGATGTCTTCATTGGACAAATGTCTGTTCACGTCTTCTGCCCATTTTTTAATTGAATTCTTTGTTTTTTGGGTGTTAAGTTGTGTAAGTTCTTTATATATTGTGGATACTTTATGTATTTTGGATACTAATCCTTTATTGGATATGTCATTTGCAAATATCCTCTGCCATTCAGTAGGTTGTCTTTTAGCTTTGTTGATTGTTTCCTTTGATGTGTAGAAATTTTTATTTTGATGTAGTCCCAATAGTTTGTTTTTGCTTTTATTTTGCTTGCCTCAGGAGACATACCTAGAAAAATGTTGCTGTGGCCAATGTCAGAGAAGTTACTGCCTATGTTGTCTTTAAGGACTTTCATGGTTTCAGGTCTTACACTTAGGTCTTTAATCCATTTTGAGTTTGTTTTTGTGTATCGTGGAAGAAAGTGGTCTAGTTTTATTCTTTTGCATGTAGCTGTCCAATTTTCCCAACACCGTTTGTTGAAAAGACTGTCTTTTTCCTGTTCTGTATTCATTCCTCTTTTGTCAAAGATTAATTGACCATATAATTGTGGGTTTATTTCTCGGTTTTCTAATCTATTCTATTGATTCATGTGTCTGTTTTAATGGCAGTATTATACTATTTTAATTACTACTGCTTTGTAATATAACTTGAAATCTGGGATTGTGATACCTCTAGTTTTGTTTTTCTTTTTCAAGATAGCTTTGGCTATTCAAGGTCTTTTGTGGTTCCATACAAATTTTAGGATTGTTTGTTTTAGTTCTGTGAAAAATACTGTTGGTATTTTGATAGGGATTGCATTAAATCAGTAGATTGCTTTGGGTAGTATAGACATTTTAACAATATTTGTTCTTCCAACCCATGAGCATGACTTTCTATTTCTTGTATTGTCTTGAATTTCTTTCATCAGTGTTTTATAGTTTTCAGATTACATGTCTTTCAACTCTTTGGTTAAGTTTATTCCTAGATATTTTATTGTTTTCGCTGTAATTGTAAATGGAATTGCTTTCTTAATTTCACTTTCTGCTGCTTTGTTATTAGTGTATAGGTATGCAACAGATTTCTGAAATTGATTTTGTATTCTGCCATAGTTTGTTATGAAAAATTATCTATCACTTGTATAATTGTTCTGCTATATGTTACATGTCTTTTTATTTCTGTCTGCTGTAAGATTTTCTCTTTAATTCTGTTTTTCAGAAATTTGGCTATGATGTACCTACTTGAGGTTTTCTTTGTATTTATCCTACCTGATGGCATGATATACTTCAAACTTTCTTGGGAAATTTTCACCTGTTCTGTCTTCATATTTTTTCTGCCTCTATTCACTCTCTTCCTTCCCCTTCCATGACTCCAAATATATGTATTTTAGATCACTTGATATCTTCTCACGATTCTACTAAAGTAGGTCTACTTTTTTTCTTCATTTTTTCCCTCCTTTCTGTTGTTTAGATTGGGTAATTTCTATTGAAATTTCAGTTAACTGACTCCTTCACTTCACTTACTTTTTCCTCTGTCAGTTTTACCTGAAATTGTCTTTTTTCATTCTTCATTTTTGGAGGGTACTCTTATTAGATATAGAAATTTAGGTTAAAATTTTATTTCAGCACTTTAAAATGTCATTTAATTATCTTATGCCATTTCCAATTTGCTGTATATCCTAGTCAGAGAATTTTTCATCTTAGATATTATATTTTCTAGATCAGAAATTTTCATTTGGATCTTTTTCTAAAAATAATTTTCATCCCTCTAATCCCTCTACTTACTCTGCCCTTTAGTTAATTAATCATGACTAAATTTTAATAGCTGTTTTTAAATCCTTATCTACTAATTCCAACATTTAGTCCAGTCAGGCTTGGTATTGATTTTTTCAATATGTCTATAGGCCATATTTTCCATTTCTTTTCATGTTAATAATTTTTTGTTATGTACTGGACATTGTAGGGACACTGAATATTGTCTCTGAAAAATGTTAGTTTTTTTGGCAGAAGTTGACTAAATACAAACTCAGAATTCTGTCTCCCTTGGATGGACAGTGGTCCTTTCTGCTATTGTTTTCTACTGGGTGTTTTACAGTTTCCCATTACATGAGCATAGTCTAGGATCATCCAAAGACTTGGATGGAATTTTTATGCAGATTTTCAGACTCCCTTATTCTCAGGGTCCTCCCTTTACTTCCAGCCAGTGTGTCAAATCTACACTTTGTCTTAGGATTCCTTGTGCTACTAAGACTGCAGCTTTCTACTTAACTTCTAGCTACCCCATGCTCCACAGACTGGGAACTTCCCTCAGGCAAAAAGCCACAAAGCACATTTCCCTAATTTCAAAAGTCAACATTCCTTTAGTTTTTGTTTCCTTTTCATTGTTCCCCAGAGACTTCAACTATTTTTTTTAATATTTTGTCCAGATTTTAAATTTATAATCTGAAGGAGTGTTAGTCTGACATATGCTACTCTGTTATTACTGGAAGCAGAACTCATTCTAGTAATCTTTTCCACCGTGTGCGTTTGAAAGCAAAGAGTGCTAATAGCAGTGAGCACATCTACCCCAGGTCTTGATTTTAAATACCACTCTCCACATTTATACCAGTTTTGTGGTATTTCTGCCAAAAATGTATAACCTTAATCTAATTATAAGAAAAGATCAGACACACAACTTGATGACAACCCTGGAAGTGTCCTGAACTTATCAATCTACATAATTCCAGAAGTGGGATTGAGTGAGATGGTATTAACTGAGTGAATGGTGGAAATTTTTCCAGCTGGGCCTTTTTACTATGCTGTGGTTCTGACTGGATTATGACTTTTAAAATATAATCACAGAAAATATTATGGTCCTTTTCCTCCAAGAAGTAACTCAATTGGGGTGACTGGCTGGCTTAGTCAGTAGAGCACACAGCTCTTGATCTTGGGGCTGTGAGCTTGAGTTCACATATAAGTTTGAGTTCATATAAGAAGATACCATGTTGGGTGTAGAGATTACAAGGAGTAACTCAAAATGAAAAAGAAACACTAAACCATAAAATATATAATTTATATGCTGAAAATAAAATATCTTTTTTCTAGGAAACAAAATAGTGATTTGGAACATATTCCTTTGTTTCTTCCTTTAGCTTGTCTCTCAATGTTGGTTTCTATACAGTAAATGCAATAACCACTTCTAGTTTTGAAGAAGTGGCCTTGTGTAAGAGATGAAACTTTTTGTTCCAACCCTGCCCCAGCTCTTGGTTACCTCTCAATCTTCTGTGCTTGTCCAAGTATCCTATTATATTTTTAATAGCTCCCAGTAGTTGAGGATGTTCTAAGAATTGTCAGTGTACAAAGGAAAGGACCTCAGCATCTACATTTAGGCTGACTGGAAGCCAGACCCTCAGACAGCAGCTTTTAAAATTATGAAAATATATACAGTCCTGAGGGGCCACAAGTATAAGCCCCACTGGCCCCAGAATCAGGTGATCTGGAAGTATCCTTTGGGTGGCAATCACAAAACTCAGGACTTCAGATGACTGTATAAACTTGTTTCTGGGAGATACTGGCAAGCTAGAGGAAGGCAGAGGACAAGTGCCAAGATAGCGCCCACAGCCTACATTCCTTGAGAGCAGCTGTGTAGGCCACTAAATGTGTGCCAAACCTGAAGGCTGATCTTCAGTTCAAAGCTCCAGGACAAGCAAAGTGGCCTCCTTCACAGAAAGCCTGGGGAATGTGCCTCAATCTGCTGTCTGTGCCATGCCTTTGAAGTGGTAGCCTGCCAAGAGCTGTCCATCTATTGCTACAATCTTGGGCAACCCAAGGGTGCAAACCCCTCTGTTCACCAAAACCAGGCGATCAAAGGGGCATCCCTTAGGCATCAGCTGCAAAAACCAGGCACCAGATGCCTGTAAAGCTTCCCCCAAAGAGACTGACACTTTGGAGCATGACAAAGGGTGAGCATAAAGATTGTGCCTGCCCACTGAGGTCTTTGGAAAGATTATAGTAATTTACCTGATAAAGAGTTCAAAGTAATGGTCATAAAGCTGTTTGCTGAGTTGGGGAGAAGAATGGATGAACACAATAACTTCAACAAAAAGATGAAAAATATAAGAAGGTAGCAAATGGAAGTGACGGAACTGAAGAATACAATAACTAAACTAAAAAAAAAAAAATACACTAGAGGGGTTCAACAACAGACTAAATAAAGTAGGAGAAAGGAGCAGTCAACTTGAAGACAGGGCAGTGGAACTCAATCAGAGCAGTAAAAAATAAAAAGAATGAAAAAATGAAGATAGTTTAAGGGACTTGTGGGACAACATTGAACGGATTAAAAGTTGCATTATAGGGCTCCCGGAAAGAGAGAGAGAAGGGGCAGGAGTCTCATTCAAAGAGATAATGGCTGAAAACTTCCCTAACTTGGGAAAGGAAGCAGATATCCAGATCCAGGAAGCCCAGAGATTTCTAAATAAGATGAACTCAGGGGCTCCTGGGTGTCTCAGTCAGTTAAGCATCCAACTCTTGATTTTGGCTCAAGTCATGATCTCAGGGTCATGAGATTGAGTCCCACATCAGGGTCTATGCTGGGCATGGAGCCTGCCTAAGATTCTTCCTCTGCAACACCCCTGCCCACTCAAGCATGTGCACTCTCTCTCTCGTCCTTAAAAAAAAAAAAAAAAAAGATGAACTCAAAGAGACCCACAGTAAGACACATTACAGATCTTCCTCAACTTATGATAGGGTTACATCCTAATAAAGTCATTGTAAATTCAAAATATTGTAAGCCAAAAATGCATATAATACACCTAACCTACCAACATCATAGTATAAACTAGCCTACCTTATGTGCTCAGAACACTTACATTAGTCTACAGTTGGGCAAAATCATCTAACACAAAACCTATTTTATAATAAAATGTTGAATATCTCAAGTAACTTATTTAATACTGTACTAAAAATGAAGAACAAAATGGTTGCATGGGTACAGAATGCTGTAAGTGTATCAGTTCTTTATCCCTGCAATTGCGTGACTGACTGAGAGCTACAGTTCACTGTCACAGCCCAGCATCATGAGAGAGTATTGTATTGCATATCACTAGCCTGGGAAAAGATCAAAACTCAAAATTTGAAGTACAGATTCACAACATTGTAAATGCATATTGTGTATTCAATAGAAACGTGTATTGCTTTCACACCATTGTAAGTTGAACCATTGTAAGCCAAGACCATCTATATAATTAAAGTGTCTAAAGTTAAAGACAGGGGAAGAATATTAAAGGCAGCAAGAGAAAAACAACTTACGGGTACCCATATCCGTACCATATCATACCATACCACACCCAAAAATCAACAGATTTTTCAGCACAAACTTTGCTGAATAGGCCACAGGGGAGTGACACAATATATTCAAAGTGCTGAAAGAAAAAAAGAAAACTTACAAGCAATAAAACTCTACCCAGAAGCGGCGGGGGAGATGGCGGACGGGAAGGTGGGAGAGGAGAAGGCTGAGAAACCATAGTGAGCTGGAGCCGCCGGAGTAATGGAGGAGAAAGTTCCAGTCGCAGCGCTGAGAAGTGATCAGCTGAAGAAGAAGCTGCAGACCTCCCAACAAAGCCTACAAAGATCTCCAAGTTTGGATTTGCCATAGGTAGACGACAAAGAAAGCCTCAGCCATATCCATCAAACTTGGATCAAGTAAGCCTAAAGAAACTGTTCCAACGCTTGCTCCGAAAACCCTTTCAGTAGCAGCAGCTTTTAATGAAGATGAAGATAGTGAGCCAGAGGAGATGCCTCCAGAAGCAAAGAGGAGGATGAAGAATATTGGAAGGGATACACCAACATCAGCAGGACCAAACTCCTTCAGTAAAGGAAAGCATGGTTTTTCTGATAACCAGAAGCTATGGGAGCGAAATATAAAATCTCATCTTGGAAATGTCCATGACCAAGACAATTAAATGATGTGTTTTGAAATTGGGGTGTGGGGTGAGTGTAAAGTTTAAAGGAACAGTTTCCTTTTTTAAAGAATGGTATAAGACTATCTTTGGAGCTGCCTTTTTTTTTTTTTTTTTAAGATTGAGTGGTACACTAATAAATGAGAGTTTGAAATTAAAAACAAACGAACAAAAAAACTCTACCCAGAAAAGTTATCATGCAGAATTGAAGGAGAGATAAAGAGTTTTCCGGGTAAACAAAAGCTAAAAGAGTTTATCACCACTATATTAGTCTTACAAGAAATGTTAAAGGGATCTCTTTAAGCTGAAAAGAAAAGGTGCTAATTAGTAACAAGAACACATATGAAAGAAGAAATCCCACTGGAAAAGTAAACATATAGTAAAGGTACTGGATTAATTACTTATAAAGCTAGTCTAAAGGTTATAAGACAAAAGTAATAAAAATAACTATGATCAAAATAACTAGTTAAGGGATACACAAAATAAAAAGATATAAAGTGTTAAATCAAAAACATAAAACATGCGTGTATGTGTGGAGAGTAAAAATGTTGAGCTTTAGAAAAAGTTCAAATTTAAGTTATTATCAACTCAAAATAGACTGTTATAAGTTGTTATAGTAACCTCATAGCAACCACAAAGCAAAAATCTATAGGAAATACACAAAAGAGAAAGAGAAAGAAATATGAGCATACCACTAAAGAAGGTCATCAATTTACAAAGGAAGATAGCAAGAGAAAAAGGAAACAGAGAGGAACTACAAAAACAGCTACAAAAACAATTGAGAGAATGGCAATAAGCACATATCTATTGATAATAACTTAAATGTAAGTGGATTAAATTCTCCAATCAAAAGACATAGAGTGGCTGAATGGATTAAAAAAATAATACCCATTTATATGCAGCCTACAAGGACACATTTTAAATATAAAGACAAAAACAGACTGAAAGTAAAGGGATGGAAAAAGATACTCCATGCAAATGGAAACCAAAAGAAAGCTGAGTAGCTACATTTATATTAGACAAGATAGACATTAAAACAAAGACTGTAATAAGAGACAAAGAAGGGCATTATATAATGATAGAAGACTGAATCCAACAAGAAGATATGAGTTGTAAATATTTATGTATCCAACATAAAAGCACCTAAATATATAAAGCAAATATTAACAGACCTGAAGGAGAAATAGACAGGGCTATGATAATAGTAGGGGACTTTAATACCCTACTTGAATCAATACATAGATTATCCAGACAGAAATTTAAAAAGGAAACATCAACCTTAAACAACATATTAGACCAGATAAACTTAACAGGTTATTATGGGACATTCCACCCAAAAGCAGCAGAATACACATTTTTTTTTTCAAGTGCGCTAGAACATTTTCCAAGATAGATCAAATGTTAGGCCATAAAATAAGTCTTAATAAGTTTAAGAGGATTGAAATAATATCAAGCATCTTTTCTGACCACAAGAGTATGAAACTAGAAATTAATTATATAAAGAAAACTGGAAAATTCACAAATATTTGCAGATTAAACATGCTACTGAACAACTAAAAGGTCAAAGAAGAAATCAAAAGAGAAATCAAAATATACCTTGAGATGAACAAAAATGTAAAGGTAACATACCAAAATTTATGGGATGCAACAAAAGCAGTTCTAAGAGGGAAGTTCATAGCAATGCTCATCTCAAGAATCAAGAAAGTCTCAATAAAAAACTTCTTTACACCTCAAAGAGCTAGAAAAAGAAGAACAAAAAGGCTACACATTATATGATTCCATTTATATAAATGTCCAGAATAGGCAAATCTATAGAGATACAAAATAGATTAGTGGTTGGGACGCCTGGTTGGCTCAGTTAAGCTTCTGCCTTCCGCTCAGGTCATGATCTCAGGGTCCTGGGATTGAGTCCCACATTGGGCTCCCTGCTCGGCGGGAAGCCTGCTTCTCCCTCTCCTGCTCCCTCTGCTTGTGTTCCCTCTCTCGCTGTGTCTCTCTCTGTCAAATAAATAAAATCTTAAAAAAAAAAAAAGATTAGTGGCTTCTAGGGGTTGAGGGGAGGAAAAAATTGCTAATGGGTGAAGAAGTTTTTGAGATGATAAAAATATTATAAAATTATATAGTGGTGATGGTTACACAACTCTGTGATTATAGTAAAAACAAATTGTATACTTTAAAAGGGTGAATTTTATGTTATGTGAATTATTTCTCAATAATGCTGTTATAAAAAATATTTATTGACTACCCGTTCTTTGCTGGAAACTCTCTAAGTGCTGGGAATAATGTAGTGAAGACACTGAAGACCTGGCTCTCAAAATAGATGTGTCTGCTGAATCTAAGTTTGTGTCCCTAACAGACTGCACATAGTAAGGGAAATTTTGGCAGAATACTTTTCCCCCATAGTAATTTTCACTTTACCCTTCTCTGTAGCCTTTTCCACTAAGAATATATAAAAAAGAAATTGTCAAAGAAGTAAAAGAGGAAAATGCACTGTCACAGGTACAAGAATTTCAAGAAGGTAAGAATGAGCAAAATTATCAGATGTTTCAGAGAGGTCAAGAAACATACCCCTTGGATTTGGCAATTAGGAGGTCTATGGTAATCTCCTAGTACTGTTTCAGTGGAATAGCAAGGGGAGAACAATTTTGTAATTGTTGCACATAGCACAGTGCCTGAGACATAGTAGTTGCTAAAGACAATATTTGTCGGATTGAGAATAAGTGTGCTGTGAGAAAATAAAGACTATACTTACCTGAAGTCCTCATGAGTAGGGAAAATAGATAATGGGTGATTTGAGGGAATATGAGTTAAAGGAATTTATTTTTAGTGTAAGAAAAATAGTCCGAGAACACGTTGCTGGTAGGGAACAAAAATTTGTATGCAGTAGAAAGAGAAAAGGCAGCAAGGTGTGGAATAGGTGAGAGGGTTCCTCTGAGATCAACTTAAGTCTTTGTAGCTACAGGTATATGTGCAGGGGTGGGCAAAAGTTTAGGGGAATAATATCTGATGGCTTCAAGTTTATTAATCAGGAAGTGAAATCATCTTCATAAAAGTGAGGGTGAATAGTAGGGAACCAAGAAGAGGGCTTGAAAAGAGCAATGAAGATTTGGAAACAACAGTAAAGAGTGGAAATATAAACTTGCCAAGCACAATATAAACTTGCCATAAAAGGATTGCCAGGGCATGGTGAAGTTTCCAATGTAACTGATAAAATTATCCATTAAGATGCCTAAATCCTTAAGGTTTTGAAGTTTTCTTGGACATACTTTCTTTAAATGTCTTCCAAGAGCTATTTAACTTCAGGGTGTGTGGGTGGCTCAGTTGGTTGGGGGGCTGCCTTTGGCTCAGGTCATGATCCCGGAGTCCCAGGATCGAGCCCTGCATCAGGCTCTCTGCTCAGCTTACCCCGCTTGTGCTTGCGCGCTCTCTCTCTCTCTCTCTCTCAAATAAATAAATAAAATCTTAAAAAAAAAAGTTATTTAACTTCAAGGATAAAAAGATAAAGAAGGTGGGTTAATGCTATACTGACATTTTCTTATGTTTGTGGATCTTATTATTTTTAGAACTCAGTTTAAGAATAATTCAGACTATAAACAATACTTAACATTTTTTCTTTAATGAAATTGTCAAGCATAACTTGTGTTAACTCAGATATCATCTTTGTTCTCTTGGGCCACCTAAGACATGGATCAGACTGACTTTCCATCATCATCTTGTGGATTGCAGTGGTTCAAAAGTTTCCTTAAGATGTATGTGTATTGGGCGCCTGGGTGGCTCAGTTGGTTAAGTGACTGCCTTCGGCTCAGGTCATGATCCTGGAGTCCCGGGATCGAGTCCCGCGTCGGGCTCCCTGCTCAGCAGGGAGTCTGCTTCTCCCTCTGACCCTCTTCCTTCTCGTGCTCTCTATCTCTCATTCTCTCTCTCTCAAATAAATAAATAAAATCTTTAAAAAAAAAAGATGTATGTGTATTCCCTGAAATCTTGTGATCTCATAATCATTTCTGGCTTGGAGCTCCTATTTCCATTTACTTAGTCTAGTTTATAGATCATGTACCTTTCTGCTCATGTTGCCTACTTCCTATCATGTTAACCCAGTTGTGGATTTGGGTCTTCATCCCAGTAGCCACTAGAAACATTCACAGAGGCAAAGATATGTAGAGATGACTTTGTTGAAGGTAGTAATATGCGGGGATTCTTATATCACAGTAACAGAAAACAACTCGTCTTGATGTCAGCCTCCTGTACTTTTCTTACTCTTCTTACTTTTCTGTCCTCTATTCTAGGGAAGAAAACCTCAGTTCCTCCCACTCTTCAATGGAGAGTCATTTAGCTCTCTATGTCTCCTACTGCCAAAGTCAGGTTGAGATACATCTTGGCCTATGCAAAACCAATAAAATGCTCAACTGAATGAACAAATGAACCTTTTTAAGAAATCTTTTTGTGTCCCTTACATAAGTCTCTAGTCAATTTCATTTTTTGATTCTTTTTCAGAACTTATCATTAAAAATGTTGTTTTTCTTGCAAAAGATAAGGCCATTAGGCAAAATAATTCTTTATCTGAACTAAAAAGAAACTTAGATGCTGCCCCTCACTCCTGTATTGTACCAAAAAGAATTCCAGTGAGAGGCAGGTCACATAGCTTTTCATACTCCTGAGTTTTATTTTATTTTTTTAAAGATTTTATTTATTTATTTGAGAGAGAGAGAGAACATGAGTGGGGGGGAGGGGCAGAGGGAGAAGCAGACTTCCAGCTGAACAGGGAGCCAGAGGTGGAGCTTGATCCCAGGCAGACAGGTAAGTGACTGAGCCACGCAGGTACCCCAGTATACTCCTGAGTTTTAAAAACTCTTCCATACAACTTTTTTTTTTGAGGGTGGGGAGGGGCAGAGGGAGAGAGAGAATCTTAAGCAGGCTCCACCCCTAGGGCGGGGCCTGGCTGTGGGGCTCCTCAGGGCTTAGGGCTTGGCACTTATCACCGGAGGCTGGATCTTACAACCCTGAGATGACCTAAGTCTAACTAAGAGTCGGGTGTTTAACTGAGTGAGCCACACAGGTGCCCCACTTTTGTATAACTCCTATAGCCTATAAAACATGCCAACTTTTCAAAGCAGACCATGTTTTTCATTAAGTCACCAAAGTCACATAATTTCTTCAGTGTTT